CCGCCTCTTCCCTCGCAGCAAAAGGGCGTCGGGATGAACGAGCCGCTGGTTGACGCCGAGGGCTTTCCCCGCGACGACATCGACCTCTACCAAGTGCGCAGCGCCCGGCACAACATCATCTGTGAGCGGGGCGGGCGGCGGGCGGGGGCCCCTTCCCTGGGCCGGGACCGTTCGCCCCCGGCGGGAGGGAACCGGAGCGGTCAGGGCTGCGCCGAGCCCCGCAGGCCGCTGCGGCCGGAGCAAGCGCCCCTGTGCATCGCTGGGCGAGCTCTGAGTAACCCAGGCGCCGCGTCGGTCTGCCCCTTCCTTGCAATTCTTCGAAAACTGAAAAACAGGGCTGCGCCGAGTTCGTTTTTCAGTTATTTTGCCCCGCTGATGCGGATCGGCTTCGTCAGTAAAACTCTTTTGTCTGCATGTTGTTGCAGCGGCATTGAAATTCTGCTTGGGACGCGTGAAATACAGCGAAGCGTTTTTGTGGTGTTTGTAGAATAAGCTTTGGGTATAAAACAGCTGGGCATTTATTTCTTCCCAGGCTTCCCCCCTGCCCTGTCCTTGGGGCTGGCTTTTGCTCTGTGCTAGTGACAGTCTGTGACTTGATGGAAAAAAGACTTCAGCTGCTCAGCGATTTCGAGGTGATCGTGGGCCTCAGCCCCGCCTCCTCCTGTTTACCAGCGTTTGTAGGGTGGTTTTCTCTGTGTCTAACTTCTACCGATAAACATCTGCCGTGTGAGCAGAGCTGGCACCAGGACCCAGCAGATACACCAGCAGAAGGTTATTGTTAGCCGCAGCTGGGATCCAGGACACCCAGAATACCATTTTTTGCACGGTTGCAGAGGAGAGGGTGTGCAGAGAAAGAACCCTTAGATGTAACTTGCTCCCGCTCCCTGGGCGCTAATGGTGTCACCCACAGGTTTGCAGAACGATCACAAGGCCCTGATGAAGCAGGTGGAGGAAGCTCTTCACCAGTTGCACGCCCGAGAGAAGGAGAAGCACGCCAAGGATGAGGCGGAGGCGTTGGCTGAGGCAATGAGCCAGAACCAGAGCCTGCCACAGGCTTTTGCCAAAGTGAACGCGGTGACTCCAGGATCTCCTGCAAGTATCTCGGTAAGTTGGTGGGGTCTGACAGCTTGTGGGGAAGGCTTCTTCTGGACCCAGAGAGAAAACATAGCAGATGCCTTTCTCTGTCTCTTGTTAATAAGTGGGAATAACTTGGGGGTTTGATTAGGTTTGGGGTTTTTCTTTTTTTTTGGTCACACTGGGATGTCCTGTGAATAGACTAGTCACTGTACAGGAATGAGATGAGTACGTACTTCTCAGCTGTATTGCTGCACCACACAGCTCACACCAGGCCTCACTGACCATTCTAGCCTCAGTATCTCTCCTCCCATAAAGTCGGACTGAGGAATGAGTACTTACTCGTTTCTAAGGACGTGGAGAGGGTGTAATGCTGTTCAGTTGCCTGAATGGTGAGAGTAGTGCTGTAGCACATCTCTCTGCATATGGCTGGGTGAAGGGTGATGCTCCTGTGATATTACCTGTCTTTGGAGAAGGCAGATGCTCATTTCTCTTCTCTCTCTGGCCAGGGACTTCAGGTCGATGATGAGATTGTGGAGTTTGGTTCTGTCAACATAAACAACTTCCAGAACCTGCAGAACATCGCCACAGTGGTGCAGCACAGCGAAGGGGTGAGCTCATTTCTGCTGTAACTGCATTCTCTTGCCTGTTTCTGTTAGCCACAGCTTTTTCTACGGAACTTAGATCTCTGGGATCATCATTTCCATGTCAGAAACAGTGTCAGATTCAGTCTGTGCTGTTGCAGGCTTGTTCTCTCACAGCACTGAGCTAATTTCTGCTGGATAGAAGAGAGCTAAGCGGTGTGTGCTCTTTGCCGTGAGCATCATATCGTCTGTTCTCCCCTGGGGACTCCCTGCAGCAGCAGGCTGCGTTGCTGTGCCACCCTTGTGGACTGGCCAAAGAAGCTGCCATAGTCATCAAGTACTTTATTGTGGAAGCGAGAGATTGCCTGGAGATGTCTCCCCACCAAATGCTCTCTTCTTTCACATCTAGCTGCAGGGGTGGGAATGGGCACTGCTGAAGAAGAGCTCCCCTGGGCCTGATGTTCTTCGGGTGCTTCAGCACAAGAAGGAAGAAGAGGGTTGACTTGGTGATGGAAAGTTGCCATCTTCTTAAATTTTTTTTCTCCCTTTAAGAGACCCCTGAGTGTGACTGTGATCCGCAGCGGCAAGAAAGTGCACGTGGGGCTGACTCCGAAGCGCTGGGCTGGGAAGGGCCTCCTGGGGTAAGCTGCTATTTCGTTTGCTAGGAGGGGATGAGGCTTTCACCCAGCTCGGAGCACGTTTCCTGCAGCAGGGCCAGCTCTGTGCTTTGCTCTCGGTGTGTGTTGCTGCCTGCTCTGATGGACTTCACCTGCAGGTACCAGCTGAGAGCTGGAGGCTGACAGTTTTGCACAGTGATATGGGGAGGGGAGTTGTGTCAAAGATGAGGACAGGGAGGAGTGGCTCCCCTCTCAGTGGCTGGTTTGTCCGGTAGAGGAAACCAGTGGAGGAGGGTTGTGGTGGGTCTGATTCATGCCGTGTCAGATCTTCTGTGCCTGCTTGAGAACTGAGACTTTAACGTTTCCTTCTACCCTCTTCTTTTTCAGCTGCAATATCATTCCCTTACAAAGATGACCATTGCTTGGAAAACAATAAAGCTGAAGTTCGCGCCTGCTTTCTGGACTCTGATCTGGTTTGAAAACTTCCCTGCGTGTTTTTGCTGAAACAAATGTTTTGGAGGCTGTGACCTGTCAGTGCCTGACTCGCAGTCTGAAGAGGGTTCTGATAGAGCAGGGCCTGCCTGCAATTCAGAGTTGCACTGGCTCATCAGGAGTAGCTTGCAGAGCTGCAAGATGTGGCTTCTCATCTCATACACCTTGTATCAGTTTGGAATGAGGCTGTAGAGAGACCCAAACTTCACTTGATACAGGCTCTAAAGAGCATGAAATGCTCTTACTTGGTGATAACAGAGCATTCCTTTTTTCTTTTTTTTTTTTTTTTTTTTTCTTTTCTTTCTTCCTCCTCCCCATAAAATTCCTCATTGAACATCTTGTAATATAGGCTAAAAAGTCCCAGAGCACTTTTTGGTGTCCTTAATAGTAGATCACAGTCAAGAAATATGCAAGTTTGGTACTTTATCTTCCCCATGTTACCACAACTTTTGAAGTCACTAAACATGATGAAAGAATCTTTGGAATGCTTGAATATTTTAAGTTAACGAAATAAGGAATAGGGGTTATAGTTCTACTTTGATTTACTTTTACTAGTTTGTATAGTCATGATAAAAATATTCCTAATTTGGCTTCTTTTTTTTTTAATTTGTTTATTTGCAGTAGTTGTTTTTAGGGTGTATAAACTCTTTGAGGGGATTTCAGGGATGATTGGTTTGTCGTAAGCTTGTTTCCAGCTGAACTTCAAAGTACTCTCCCAAAACAATAAAACTGAGTAACACCTCTCTCCGTTCTTGTAGAAGTTATTATTTTGGGCAATAATTGTGGGCCAAGTTGGGTGGGCTAAAGGCAGACCTGCACGGACACAAAAGCGTGACCCCCGGCCTTCCAGAGCCGAAGCCCAGGTAAGGCGCAGGTCTTCCATTAGCGCTTCATAAGCAGGTTGCGGGCATAAGTAATGCGTCACACCTAATGAACGATTTTGAGATTATAAAGATTAATAACCAGACCTGAAACAGACTGAAAAAGTGGACTAAAACCCTCGCTTTTAAATCATTCGCTCAGGGCTCTGGGTTAAATTGAGTAAATTTACCCTTTTGATGTTTCAAGCGTTTGTCTTTTTGGCGTACAGTCCAACAGAGCAGATTCTCACTGAAATGGTAAAGCTTCAAAGTGAAGCTCCTTGCTTGGCGGTTTCTGCAGGCTTCACAGCGCTACGGAGGAAGCGTTGCCGCAGCAGCCCATGGCAGCGTTCCTTGGATGAGATTGTATCTAGATAATCCACATCAAACGCAGTCTCGCCCTGGTCTTTCGAGGAATTTTAAAAGGGCTGAAACATGGCACTGTTGTGCTCCATCTCTTTTCTTGAAGAATAACTGAGAAGGGGAGGTGTTTTGGGACCCTCTGTCGCATGTGTGTCCTGCCTCGCTTTACCGGAGCAGTTCTGAGGCTAAGCCTGCGCTGCTGACCTTCACCAGGCGCTATGACCCACAAAGGCCGCTCCATCTCCTAAATCCACTGTGAAATCCCACTGGAAAGCAGGGTGAGGTCCCTGTCTGTAGTGACAAGGTAAGCACCCCTGGGGGGTTGTTCTGTAGGAGGGCTGAGTCTCTGCATAGGACCACAGTGTCAAAAAACTTGTGTAAAACAAGGATTTTTAAATGCACATTTTATCAGGTTTGGGAGCCTTGTTTTTTGCGGAAGAGGGGTTTTTATATTTGTAGGTTCTGCTGCAGTTTCTAAACGTGAATGTCCACAAGCTGCCCCAATCTTCTGTCCCTGTGAAATGGAATGTAGGTGTAATACGTGGATAAACTGGGTATCAACTGGCAGCTGAAATGTCAGACTGTCAAGGGGCTGGCCTTGGCCCTGTGTACCTGGGATACGTGTATAGGGATCCCAGCTGTGGCTAGCTTTTACCCGAGCTGCAGGTGAATCTGGGTCTAGATACTGGTCCAGGAGAAAAAAAGCTCATGGGACGCATCCTTCCCAGCCTTCGCATTTGTGCCTCCCAGGATAAAATGATCTAGAAAATCCCAGCTTTCTGTACTGCTCTTGAAATGAGGTTAGGGGGTCGGTCCAGTCCCGCCAGCCAGGTAATTCCTGCTCTCGGGGAGCTGATTTCCCTTGCAGTGTGGAGGGTCTGTGCACGCTTCAGAGCGCTCTCAGCTCTGCAAGGCTTTTGTGGAAGTGCATCCCCTAAGCCTGCGACCTAACCCCTGCGTCCCCGGCCCCTTTGGTTTTGTGCGCTGACTACAGCGGGTTGAATGATCCCAGCAAGTGTAATTAACACAGATTATGTTGCAAAACCTGCTGTGGATAGGTAAGGTTTGAGCTTCTGTAGGCCACACTCAAACCTCTGCTGTAGGACCAGAGCAGAAGAGGAGATGCTCTTAGTCAGAATACACAGGATTTTCATGCTGCAGAGCAGAGATGACTCCCTGTATCCTATCTGATCAGGGAACATGGACTGGATGCTGCTGGGTGGGAAGAAAAGCACCGTGTCTGAAGAAGCTTGATGCGCAGGTGCTGATGCACTGAACAAGGCTGCCTTGCACCTAGCAGAGATGGGGCTTAGGGACCAAATCCCTGCTCCTGAAGCCACAAAACACCCCCCGTTTGAAACAGCGGGTTCTGCCACAGACGAGGATTTGAGAGCAGCCGCCTTTTGACGACCGCCTCTGCGCGGCAGCCTCTTAGGTCGAGGAGATAATGTGAGCTGATAACAAAACTCCTTTCCTCTCCCAGCAGGGAACGAGGCTCTTGCTGGGCAGAAAGAAAAACAAATTAGATTTAGAAATTGTTATTATTTGAGCTTAACAGCGAGGCTGAAGGCAACAGTTGGGAGCACTTAGAGCTGATTATCTGTGGTGGTGACGGCGATAGCTTGGAGTGATCCCTGGGAATGGGGTCCCCTGTGCAAGTGCCATCCTGGCGGAGAGCTGGGGATGGCGGGGGGACCTGCCAATGGTTGGAGGCTGATTTTTCTCGCTTTGACTCTGCTTGTCCTGCTCAGGAGTGCCAAGGGAGCAGAAGCTGCCTATGCCTCTCTGAGGGGGGGCATCTGGTAAAGATCCCTCGTCTCCTTCCCAGGGCAGGGCGAGGGTTTGGTGCCAAAGGGGCCTGGCGATGCCAAGAGGGCCTTTGTTACAGCCAGGAGCAGGATTTAGGTTTGGGCAGGGCAAAGGGCTGAACGTCCCCCCGTGCCACCAGGTTCCCAATTTGGGCAGGAGGACAGCGCTGCCTCTCCATGGCAGCCGGTGGGGATGAGGAGGGTCCCCCCTTCTCTCCCCATACAGCCCCCCTCTCTCCCCCGGTGCTTTCTGGGCTGTCGCTGGTGGCGGCCAGTGCAGGCGTTGGTGCAGCCGGTGCAGCCGTTGCCTGGGAACGGCAGTCGGATGCAAACAGAAACGGGGACTGGTGCGATGGTGAGTGGTGGGGTCCCCAGGGGTTCCCTTGGGGCAGTGGGAGTGCGGGGCAGCTGGGGAGGCCCCAAAACCTGGAGGGGGCTCAGGAACGGCTCTGCAGTGACCCTGGTGAGACCTGTGGGGCCACAGCCATCCCCAAGCACCCGTTCTGCCTGTCAGGGCCAGAGGGAGGGTTTTTCCTGGGGCCCCCTTCCCACTCCTGTGAAAGCTTTCTGTGCACAAGGTTTTGGTGTTGGCTCAAATCCAGACCCATGGAGCCAGAGGTGAACCAGCTGCTGCCCAGCAGTAGCCCTGCTGCTTACGGAGATGGTGACAAAACCTCATCTGAGGGGAAATGTCCATGCCCAGCATGGCGTGCAGGCAGACAGGGAGGGAGCCTGATCACAGCTGGAGTAACTGGGGCTGTGCTGGGCTTGCTTGCGCTCGTCAGGAGCGTTACTGGAGCTGAAAATGGGCTCTGGGACCTATTTCCTAGCTTCAGAGGTGCCCTTTCCTCAGGCTGTGCCAAATTCCAGGTCATTGTGCAATGAAACCCGGGGTGGGGGGGAAGTATTTCAGGGCATCTCCATGCCCCAGCTCCCTGGAAGGAGGGTGAAGGTGAGGATGGATGGGTCAAATGAAGTTATACCAGAGGAGCCAACTGAAGGAAGAACAGGAGTAAGCAGCGAGCCCATGGAGATGTCCCAGGATGGACAGACAGCTCAGGAGATGGCCGTGCTGCCCGAGCAGGTGAGGGCAGCCCTACCACAAGCTCTGCCTGACACAGGGTCTGTGGGCAGGTCCTGGTGGAAGCAGAGCCCCCAGCTCCAGGACCAGGGGGTAGTGTCTCCCAGACGTGGTTTCTCCCGAGATGTCCCCGGGAAGGCGAGCAGGGACCCCGCCAGTGGGGCTCGGCAGATGCAGCATCTGTGTGTAGTCTCAGTCCAGCCATTAATATTTGCTGAGCACTTGAGCTGCCTGAGAGTTACGTGAGCAGGAGGGAACCTGGCCTCAACCCTGCGCTGAATGAAATGTTATCTTACCTCCCTCGGAAGCAGAAACAGTGTCTATACCTTATATGAGAGCTTGCTATAGGAAATCAAGTAGCCCCATGGGGAGAGGCAAAAGCTGATGTGGATCCCAAGAACAAGATTAAGTGACCAGTGCTCAGACTGGGGAAAGCCTGTCTGAGGACTGCTGTGAGCTCTGACACCCCGGGGGTAATTTAATACATTTATTAACAGGCTGATGAAGGGTGGTAGTGGGATTTTTACCTTCGCTTTCCGTCTGCTTGTCAGGCAGCATGGTGAGAGGCACTAGCAGTAGAGCGGGGATTGCTGCAGAGCCCTTCACAGCTGTCTCGGTCCCAGGACCCAATTCCCCTGTTTTTAACCTCAGTTTGCCATCACTCCCTCTCCAGCCTGTGCCCATGTGCCCTGTTGTGGCAATCAATAACGTGGATGGGGGGAATAGTCAGGGGATGGACAGCAAAGAGGCCAGACTTTTTGCCTTCAGAGGACCTATAGGTTAGTTCTGGAGCAGAAACTTGGACATCTTAGCCCAGGTGATAGGAG